AAAACATATTAAAAAGCCTTCATTGACATGGCTAATCCTTAAAACTGCACCTATGCATTTCGGCTAACACTTGCCTTCATCAGCTAACCTCAGGGTACAGTGTTGTGTCATTTGTTTTTATTATTTGGTTGTTCTGTGAGTACTATAGCAATAATTTAATTACCACAACAAATCAAAGTAATTTAGTAATGCATTCAGAAATGGTGTGCTCTGTTCTTGTAATATTATAAGATTAAATATTATCTAAAACTCATAGCAGACTGTTGTAAGATGCTATAAAGTCAACTTGCAGTCAGTTGCATGTTGGGTAGTTTGGCAAGTGAATCTAAACACTTGCATTGTATTTGATTTTATTTATAAGCATTATGAATAATGTACATACGGCCAGTTTTTAAGCATGGAAAAATAAGCTTTACTTGCATGGGATGTTTTTTTGAAGCCTTCTTTTGACATTGGGTTTGGGCTGATTTACTTTATGCATTGCATTGTGTTAATGGAGTTCATTAGTTAGACCGTGATGCATCTTGACTGTGTTGTATCTTTGAAACCTGCACTTCAGAATGAATGTCAGTGGTGTAAATAAATCAGATACTCACTTTTAGGAGCTGCAGGCAACTGTGTATACACATCTACAACAGCTGTGTACTATAAAGGAGAAAGTTTAGTTTACACGAACATGAGGAATATGCATAACCAACCTATTATCAATATCAACAGATGAGAATAGTATCTTCCAAACGTTACATTAAAATCTGTTTTAAAAGTTTTTAGACCCCCCAAACAACTTATAGAAAGAAAAACGTGTTCATTTCAGTAAAAGCGACAACAAAAAGTCAAAACAAAACACTGTTACTTATAGTTTATGTGAACTAATTGCGATTTGCATGGATTTTTTTATATAGACTTCCCTTTACTTGCATTCTCTTTATTAGTTTCTAGAAGTGATCATATTATTATTATATTATATTTCATTCATTAATGCATTTAATATTTTAAGCAATATAAATATAGATCTAAAAACATGTTTTGTTCAACATTTTATTTATTTATTTAGCTGTGGTGTAATGTGGTGTGTTGTTTAGTACTATAATATGTGGTAGTATAATATACTTGATATTTGTTAAAAAAAATACAGCAGCATTGGATCATTTGTGGTAAAGTCTAGAAGGGAGTTTAATCCATATTTTTACATTACTGTGAGGGTTGGTGTAGGGTAGATGTTAATAAAATACAAATAATGGGTAATTTAAGAAATAATATGAATAATATTCTGTATAATTACACTTTCTATATCACTGTGAGGGTTGGGATGTGGGTAGGTGTTAATAAAATACAATTTAAAGGGAAATTGAATGAATAATATGAATAATATTCTGTATAATTGCTGTTTTTACACTACTGTGAGGGTTGGGGTAGGGGTAGGCATTAAAAAATACAATTTAATGGGTAATTTAATGAATAATAATCTGTATAATTGCTGTTTTTACACTACTGTGAGGGTTGGGATGTGGGTAGGCATTAATAAAATACCATTTAATGGGTAATTTAATGAATAATAATCTGTATAATTGCTGTTTTTACACTACTGTGAGGGTTGGGATGTGGGTAGGCATTAATAAAATACAATTTAATGGGTAATTTAATAAATAATAATCTGTATAATTGCTGTTTTTACACTACTGTGAGGATTGGGGTAGGGGTAGGCATTAATAAAATACAATTTAATGGGTAATTTAATGAATAATAATCTGTATAATTGCTGTTTTTACACTACTGTGAGGGTTGGGGTAGGGGTAGGCATTAATAAAATACAATTTAATGGGTAATTTAATAAATAATAATCTGTATAATTGCTGTTTTTACACTACTGTGAGGGTTGGGGTAGGGGTAGGCATTAATAAAATACAATTTAATGGGTAATTTAATGAATAATAATCTGTATAATTGCTGTTTTTACACTACTGTGAGGGTTGGGATGTGGGTAGGCATTAATAAAATACAATTGAATGAGTAATTTAATGAATAATATAAATAATTCTTGTTAACCCCTGGCCACTTCTGTATGCCTTTTAGCTACACACATAATTTGTTAATTTTACTGTAGTTGTTTTGCCATAGCAATGATAGACCAGCTGGTTAATTGAAGTGCTTTAGTATAGAATGGTTCAAGAACACTACAGTATTTACACGGTAAACAAAGTGCAGGGTTCCACAAAGTTCCCAACACAAATTTAGTTTGACGAAAAAAAGTTGGACGCTTCACATTTCCGAGTGTCTCAGCAGCAGAAGTCGTCAGAGTTTGGTTAATCTCAGAACGCAGTGAATGGAAGACTACAACAAATGGCTGTTTTTCAATCCTATTTGCTACAATTATAAAAGAAAACTCCACCAAGGTGTTATCAAGACTTTCAGAGCAGGAAAACAATAGTGTGAGACTGATAATGCCTGCTAGAAAAGAGAATAGCGTCAAACTTACTGTCCCACCCCTATAGACTGCAATATTAACACCTCGCATAATTCGTTTTTTGTCATTTGATGCAAAGATGATATAATACATACATAAATACATATAACTGTACATAAACTTTCAAGGATTTAAGACACTGATGACCGCATCATATTAGTCTCGCAAAAAGTGTTCATTGTTTTTACAAATTTAAGTGGATTGAATGTAAAACTATTAAATTGTCCTTAAATTCTGAACAATTGTGTTGTTTAAACTCATTTTAAATAAGTAGTTTGAACAAATTTCAATAGTAATTTTTTAGGTGTACTCTACAGTGTTGTTTTAAAGTGTGCAGTGACATTGTGAATTCAGAATAACCCTCATTGCCCGCCTCAGTTAGTGGAGCAACTCATTTTGAATGAGTGACCTTGTTAGCAAAGGTTAAGCAGAGGGACCACGCCTCACTTTGCGTCCTTAACCAATCACCTACTCCCTAAAATGTATTTAAGGCAGACCAGCCCTCTAGCATTGTTGGTCTTATTTTCTCAAAGCAACCCTCAATCCTTCTATTTCCTTGCTTCCCATTAACAAACCTTCTCTTCCCTCCTGGGTTGAATCTTTTGGTTCAACCAAAATATTACAGAGACACTACCCCCACTCTGCACTCTAAAAAATAACTCAAGAGCTCTGTAACCACTACATAGTTCAATACATTATTGTAACTTAAAAATTCTAAAATGCTGATTAGATTAAAACTTTTAAGTTGCCAGAAAAAATTTATTAAGTTTTCAAAACAGGAACATATTGATAATTACATCAATTTAACAATGCAGCTAATTTAAAGGTAAATATATCTGTCAGTTGCTTTAAAACAATATTTAACTTGTAGAAATTGGGTTGATAACTCACACTAATGGAGTTGTTTTGTATTTTTAAGTCCACACACTGATGTTTTTGTTATTTTTTACACTGATAATATGGGACAGTACATGTTTTGTTTTGTAAAACAATGAAAAGCTGTAGTTTAATACAAATAAAAAACTACAGAAAAACAAAAATGTTTTATAAATGTATTTCTTACAAGCATGAACAGTAAATTTGAAAACAAACAAAAAACGTAACATTTTTGGCTACTTAATTTATTTGGGGTTCTAAACTTGAAAATGTGCATGTAATTAAGTACACAACACTGGATTTGTTTTTAATCTTAAAATAAAAATAAAAAACTAATTGAAACAACATTTTTAGTACTCAACTCATAGATTTGAGGTTTTTGCTATGTAAAAATGCCTCTGATTGAAGAGGAAAATATTTAGCTAACATAATAAAGTTTGTTGTCTGAACTTCATTTTGTTAGATGTTGTCGTAACTTTAATATATTAATGCAAACTGTTGCGTTAATTTGTTTTGTTTAGTCTAAACAATATTTTTAGAGTGTGAGTGTCTGGGCATCATCGTAGCACATCCAATCAACCTATCTACATGTTCACTATTTATCCTTTTACTTCCGTTCCCCTTCATCCCACTGTTCCCTCACCAACCCTATTCATCCCTACAATAAAGTCTAGCTCAAAGTGTGGCGTGGTCCATGCTGCTGAAATAAGTACTTTGAACAAGCTGCAGAAGTCATTTAAGCGACTCTACAGTATTGTTTAAAGTGTACAGTGACAGTGTGCATGCTAAATAGCCCTTACTGCCTGCCTCTGTTTGTGGAGCAGCTCATTTTAAATGGAGTTAAATTGTTAACAAAGGTTTGTCAGTGGGACCACGCCTCACTTTGCCTCCTTAACCAATCACCTATTGCCTAAAACTTATTTAAGGCAGACCAGCCTTCCAGCACTGTTCTTCTAATTCTCTCGAAACCACCCTCCCTTCTTCCATCTATTTCCATACTTCCAATTAACAACCCTTATAACCCTCTCTTCCCTCTTCTGGGGGTCCAATCACTCTTCCACAATATTACAGAGACACTACCCCCACTCTGAATTCTTAGGGCATCGTTGTAGGACATCCAATCAACCTATCTACCTGTTTACTGTTTATCCTTTTACTTCCATTCCCCTTCATCCCACTGTTCCCTCACCACCCCTATTCATCCCTACAATAATTTCACTGTTCTTCTCCTTCTCTAAAACCCTCCCTCTATTTCCTCGCCTCCCATTAACAAACCTTATAACCCTCTCCTCATTCCTAGGTTGAATCTTTTGGTTCAACCAAAATATTACAGAGACACTACCCCCACTCTGAGGGGCATCATCGTAGGACATCCAATCAACCTACATGTTCACTGTTTATCCTTTTACTTACGTCCCCCTTCATCCCACTGTTCCCTCACCACCCCTTTTCATCCCTACAATAAAGTCTAGCTCAAAGTGTGGCGTGGTCCATGCTGCTGAAATAAGTATTTTGAACAAACTGCATTAGTCAGTTTTAAGTGTACCTACTCTTCAGTGTTGTTTTAAAGTGTGCAGTGACATTGTGAATGCACAAAACCCCCTTGTTGCCCCGCCTCAGTTAGTGGAGCAGTTGAGCAGGTTTGTGTTCAGTGAAGAGGAAGTGTTGCTCAGATCAGACGGCAGCATCTAGAAAGCGACTGGCTGCCTGAGCTCTTGCGTGCTACTTTTAGAGGAAGAAGGCGTGACTACAGAAGCACAACAATATTGAACAGCACCCATGTCTCGCACACACACAGCTAGTTGAATGCACAGGATCTGATAATAAAGGAAACCGCGGATGCACGCTAGAAGAAGTTTGCTGGAGATCTGCTGATGCTAGTAGTCGAGGATCAACAACAACAACAAACCACTCGAGCTCGTCAACTAGGAAATGCACTTCGCGTTAAGCATGACTGCATGCTAGTCTGCCAGGACGACTACTTTTGGACGGAGAGTAATAATAGATGTAATACAGATTGCATCGTTTTATTCGTCAACAAGCAAAGCAAGCGCGTGGACGAGTCGGAAACTCGCGCGCGCCATTGAAAACAAGTAAGCACCATATTTCTCATGCGTTCACACTTTTTGATTCATAATCGCATGTATATCATACATTAAACCATTTAATGTTCAAAAGTCTGGCTTTTTAGACATGCATACTGTGGCGTTCGTCCAAACCGTGTTTCTTTTGTCAGGGTGCATCCCTGCATTTCCTGTTTAGCTCTCCATCTGCTTTTTGCTGTATGCTAGCGGCTAATAAGAGCGCATGCGACGTGTTTAACACGTTATTTTAAACATGCACGAACTCAATGAACCTATAAGTAGTTGTGTTTTAAATGCACGAGGTTGAATGCGTGTGTTTGCACGTGAAACTTCGCCCTCGCGACTCTTCTTTGTGCTACTGTTGTTGATGTCCAGTGCATGAGCCATAATGACACTTCTAATGGTTTTGTTGATATCAAATGCGTCCTGTTTGTAAATAAACAAACATATCGTGTTTAAATCGCGTGCACATGTTCTCGTGCTCGAGCGGTTATTGGGGATAAAGTGATGCGCGCGCGGGTTTGGTGGCGCTCCTTTGTTATTGCTTTGTCTGTGTTGGAGCACATGGCCCTCCACGCTTTTGTTTTTGAAGTTAGAGCTCACTCTCTTTGTGGCAAATCAACCATGTCTTTATGTTAAACACCAATTTAGGCATGCACTTTTATATGCATACGCTTTATCTGTGTTTCTTGGTTTTAACGCGCTCCTGTATATATAATCGATTGGTGTAAAGTTGGTTGTATATTCGTAAATTCGGTTAATTTGTTGAATATTTGGTCTGAAATCGCATGCAAGTATGACTTCCAACCAACATTAGTGCTATTTAATTAACTGTGAGCAATGCTGTACTTTGATAGTCGCTGGCTGCTAATATGAGTTTACTATTTATAATTAGCAAACACCACTTCTGAAATGATAGTAAAATGTGGTAATATATAATTGACTTTACCTCAATATTTGGTTGTGATGTCAGAAGTTGATTGTGTGTAATAATACATGCACAGATGGTTTTTGATGATGGAGATGTTATGCACTTGTTTTTAGTGTGATCTTTTGTTGGTGATGATGATTTGTGGTGGTCTCAATGGGTTTGTGTAAATTTGTGACGTGCTACTTTTGAATATTCTGTCTAAAATTGCATGCAAGTACGACATAACCAACATTAGTGCTATTTAATTAACTGTGAGCAATGCTGTACTTTGATAGTCACTGGCTGCTAATATGAGTTTACTATTTATAATTAGTAAAGACCACTTCTGAAATATTAAGAATGTGTGGATATAAAGTCGACCATACCTCAATATTTGGTTGTGATGTCAGAAGTTTATAGTTGATTGTGTGTATTAATGCATGCTCAGATTTGATGATGGGTTGTTATGCACTTGTCTTCTTTAATGTGATCTTTTGTTGATGGTTTTTGGTGTGTCTCAATGGGTTTATGTAAATTTGTGACGTGCTACTTTTGAATATTCGGTTGAAAAATTGCATGCAACTATGACTTCCAACCAACATTAGTGCTATTTAATTAACTGTGAGCAATGCTGTACTTTGATAGTCACTGGCTGCTAATATGAGTTTACTATTTATAATTAGCAAAGACCACTTCTGAAATGATATTAAAATGTGTTAATATATAATTGACTTTACCTCAATATTTGGTTGTGATGTCAGAAGTTGATTGTGTGTAATAATGCATGCACAGATGGTCTTTGATGATGGAGATGTTATGCACTTGTCTTTAGTGTGATCTTTTGTTGATGATGATGATTTGTGTCTCAATGGGTTTGTGTAAATTTGTGACATGCTACTTTTGAATATTCTGTCTAAAATTGCATGCAAGTACTACATAACCAACATTAGTGCTATTTAATTAACTGTGAGCAATGCTGTACTTTGATAGTCACTGGCTGCTAATATGAGTTTACTATTTATAATTAGTAAAGACCACTTCTGAAATGATATTAAGAATGTGTGGATATAAAGTCGACCATACCTCAATATTTGATTGTGATGTCAGAAGTTTATAGTTGATTGTGTGTATTAATGCATGCTCAGATGGTTTTTGATGATGGGATGTTATGCACTTGTCTTCTTTTAGTGTGATTTTCGGTGTGTCTCAATGGGTTTATGTTAATTTGTGACATGCTACTTTTGAATATTCGGTCTAAAATTGCATGCAAGTATGACTTGATATTAAGAATGTGTGGATATAAAGTCGACCATACCTCAATATTTGATTGTGATGTCAGAAGTTTATAGTTTATTGTGTGTATTAATGCATGCTCAGATTTGATGATGGGATGTTATGCACTTGTCTTCTTTAATGTGATCTTTTGTTGATGGTTTTTGGTGTGTCTCAATGGGTTTATGTAAATTTGTGACATGCTACTTTTGAATATTCGGTTGAAAAATTGCCTGCAAGTATGACTTCCAACCAACATTAGTGCTATTTAATTAAATGTGAGCAATGCTGTACTTTGATAGTCGCTGGCTGCTAATATGAGTTTACTATTTATAATTAGCAAACACCACTTCTGAAATGATATTAAAATGTGTTTATAATTGACTTTACCTCAATATTTGGTTGTGATGTCAGAAGTTGATTGTGTGTATTAATGCATGCACAGATGGTCTTTGATGATGGAGATGTTATGCACTTGTCCTTAGTGTGATCTTTTGTTGGTGATGATGATTTGTGGTGGTCTCAATGGGTTTGTGTAAATTTGTGACGTGCTACTTTTGAATATTCTGTCTAAAATTGCATGCAAGTACGACATAACCAACATTAGTGCTATTTAATTAACTGTGAGCAATGCTGTACTTTGATAGTCGCTGGCTGCTAATATGAGTTTACTATTTATACTTAGTAAGGACCACTTCTGAAATGATATTAAGAAGTTGAATATAAAGTCGACCATACCTCAGTTTTTCATTGTGATGTCAGAAGTTTATAGTTGATTGTGTGTATTAATGCATGCTCAGGTGGTTTTTAATGATGGGATGTTATGCACTTGTCTTCTTTTAGTGTGATTTTCGGTGTGTCTCAATGGGTTTATGTAAGTTTGTGACATGCTACTTTTGAATATTCGGTCTAAAATTGCATGCAAGTATGACTTCAAACCAACATTAGTGCTATTTAATTAACTGTGAGCAATGCTGTACTTTGATAGTCGCCGCTAATATGATTTTACAAATTTAAAATTGCAGACAATACTTTTCTGAAATTAAATTGAGTGTGCCAATATAAAATCAACTTTACCTCAATGTTTGATTGTCATATGCAGCGATCATAAGTTTATAGTTGATTGTGTGTATTAATGCATGCACAGATTTGATGATGGGATGTTATGCACTTGTCTTCTTTTAGTGTGATATTTTGTTGATGATTTTTTGGTGTGTCTAGATGGGTTTATGTAAATTTATGACATGCTACGTTTAAATGAAATTGCATGCAAGTATGACTTCAAACCAACTATAGTACTTATTTAATTAACAGTGAACAATGCTGTGCTTTAATAGTCACTGGCTGCTGATATGAGTTTACTATTTATAATTAACAAAGACCACTTCTGAAATGATATTGAGAATGCGTGAATATAAAATCAACTTTACCGAAGTTTTTCATTGTGATGTCAGAAGTTTATAGTTGATTGTGTGTATTAATGCATGCACAGATGGTTTTTGATGATGGAGATGTTATGCACTTGTTTTCTTTTAGTGTGATCTTTCGTTGATGATGATTTCTGGTGTGTCTCAATGGGTTTTTGTAAATTTGTGACATGCTACTTTTGAATATTCGGTCTAAATTTGCATCCAAGTATGACATTAAAACAATGTTAGTACTATTTTATTAACAGTGAGCAATGCTGTACTTTAATAGTCACCACTAATATGATTTCACTATTTAAAAATTGCAGACAATACTTTTCTGAAATTATATTGAGTCTGCGACTCGCAAAACCACTTAAGCTCAATGTTTGATTATCATGCGCAGTGATCAGAAGTTTATAGTTGATTGTGTGTATTAATGCATGCACAGATGGTATTTGATGAGGATGTTATGCACTTGTATTATTTTAATGTGATCTTTTGTTGATGATTTTCGGTGTGTCTCAATGGGTTTATGAAAATTTGTGACATGCAGCTTTTGAATATTCGGTCTGAAATCACATGCAAGTATGACTTCAAACCAAGTGTGCCGCAAGCCTGCGTTTGAGTGAAGGTCTCGGCCGTTAGATTGCCCCCTGGGGGCTGGCTGCAGTACAAGTCATAAAGCCCGCCTCCTCCGTGTTAATGAAGGAGACTTGAGCCCAAATAAAAAAAATTATTACACTTGCAATAAAATGTCCCGAAAGATGGTTCTGGTCGATTAAGGCACTGGTTATTGTGCTGAAATAGGTGCAGATCTTCATTTTTGTAAACAGTTTGTTTTTAGCAGTAATTTAATGCTGGGCGTGTCATCGTGATTGACAGCTGTGATTGACAGTTTCTCAAAGCAGCGCTTCTGAGCTTCGGCAGGAGACTGAAATGTTATTACTCGATTTCTGTGTTATTTTATCATGACAAAATGAGTTCAGCAGTAAACTATAGTTTCTGACATACATGATCTGGTGGAACACTGTTTATTCGCTAAGGTCAGGGCTTTTTTCGGGCTTTATTAGTTTGCTGATACACATCTAACCACCCAGATAGCAAAATACACTCGGACCAGTTCGGCTAGATTCTTGCCTGCCGGAGACTTAACGTACCCCTCTGAGCTCAGACTGACTACCTCTGCTGGACCTACTCCGGATGCCTGGACTCACTGCCCGATTCCAGCCCGAGTCAATCGAGCCAGATGCGGCGGCTGAGCGAGCCGGCGCTGCCGCATGCGAGCCGGAATCAGCCCGCGACGCCGCGAGTAGGATATGTGCGCTGCTGCCCGGAGCTGGCGCGATTAAATATATAAAACCCTCATATTTGTTAACGTTATTACATCCATTTGTGTTGATATGACAGCAAACGCATGC